ATGTTGCAACTCAAAGTGTTGCAACTTAAGTTGCAACTAGTTAAAAATTTTAAAAATAATTATGGAAACCATCTTTAAATGTTATAATTGTTTTATAATTCGGTTTTCTTTAAATTTTACTTATAATGTAAGTATTCTTTTAAGTTTTGGTTTAATGCGGTAATTGATTTAAATTACAATAATAATTTTGAAGTTTCAATACAGATATTCTTTTAAATTTTGTTTATAATGCAAATATTCTTTTAAGTTTCGATTTAATGTGATAATTGATTTAAATTTTGATTATAATGCGGTAATTGTTTTATAATTCAATATTCTTTAAATTTCGTTTATAATACAAGTATTCTTTTAAGTTTCAATTTAATGTGATAATAGTTTTAAATTTCGATTATAATATAATAATTCTTGAAAATTTCAATTACTATGCAGTAATCATTTTAAGTTTCGATTATAATGCAGATGTTACTTAAATTTCGATTATCATGCAGTAATTGTTTTAAGTTTCAATTATAATGCAGGTTGTAGATTATAATGCGAATATTAATACAAGATTTATTTTGCTGCAGCATCTATATTAATTGTTTCATTTATATATATAAATTGTTCATTAACATTGATAAAAAACATCAATTTCAAATTTTCAAGATGACAAGAAATAGGTCTATTTCGAATATTATTGATAATAAACTGATAAAATGATCATCTCTACCATTTGAGTCAACTCAAAAAAAAAAGTTAACAAAGTTCCTTGTTATTGTAATAAGTGTAATGGAAAATTAGTTTTAAATTAGACCAAACTTTTTCTTGAATCGGCAAGTGGTTCATCAACGATTTGTAAAGGTTTAAGTGGCTTATTATCGATTCGTGGTGGTTTCACCATCAAACAATTATATTTAAATTTTGACGAATTGATACTTAATACTGGATTACCTGCTGAAATCAAATCACAAGATTTGAGGAGCGAAATGATTGATGATAATTCACGAGTTTTAAGAATCGAAACAACTGATATTTATCTAAAATTACTAAATTTATCTCAAAAGCGTACAAGAAGGTATAAAAGTCATCTGCAAGTTACTGATAATTTGAGTGACTCTGAGGATGAGCAACATACTGAGTCTTCTTTAAGCGAGAATAGTAAACATAATGAAAGATGATATATCGAATCTCCTATGAGTGAAGATGAAAGTATTTCTGATGATTTACTTATTTCTGAAACTTTTGAAGATTATTCTTTGCTGAAATATGAACTATATAAAGATGAAGAAGAGGAAGTAACGATCAATAATCAATTTGCATGGATTTTATTATGGTTAATGAACTTTTGAATTAGGTTCAACATACCAGAGACTGTAACTTAGTCTCTTATAAATTTATGAAATTAGTTCTAACTAAAATCGGTGGTGATAAGTTTAACAGATTTCTAAGTACTCTTTATTTAGCAAAGAAATCGCTTGGCCTCAAAGACAAATTTTATAGTTTCGTACCTTATACGAAATGTCATAAACTTTACAACAGAGATGAAATGATGAATTTTCGACAGAATGATACTTTATCGATTATGACAAGCAATCATGTTGAATTTTCAAATTTATCAATTCACAGGTTACGGCCTTGTAATACATCATTGTCTCATAAAACAGATAATTCAAATTTTTTTCAACCAAAATTAATTCATCCATTTGGCAGCATTCAAGAACAATTCAGTGTTATGTTTCATTAATAAGATTTCTAAAATCATCTACGTCATTGGACTGATAGAACAAATTTTGATAACATATTGGCAGGCATATATAATGAATAAGTTTGGAAGACATTTAAAGAAAATAATTCAGAAACTTCACTGAAATTTTTCAGACCTAATGTAGCTGATTTACATTTAAGCTTAATATTGAATTTGGATTGATTTCACTTTGATGGAACAATTTATAGCATTGAAGTATTATATGCTGCAATTTATAATCTTTCAAGAGACATTCAATTCAATCGTAAAAATTTACTAATTCTTGGAATTATATCCAGCTTGAATAAAGTGAGTTTACACAAAATAAATCATTATTTAGCACCAATTGTTGATGAATTAAAGTTACTTTGGAATGGTATGAGGCTAAATTGAACATATGAAAGTCAAGAAGAAAAGAGAATTTGTGCAGCATTAATCCTTGTTTTATATAATATTTCTGTAGCAAGAAATATTTGCGATCATATTTTGGTATTAATATCATGTCATAGGTGTGAAAAGAAAGCAACTTATGAAAATTGATAACATAATTTTGCTGGAATGAGTAATATGCATAAATGGTTTACTCCTCAGAATTTATCATAATATTGAGAGAATGCACTTGACTGGTAAAGGTGCAATTCAAATGCTGAAAGAAAGCGATTTGTAAAGATACTAATATTAGATTTTCTGAGTTACTTCGTTTACCATACTTTGATTCAATTCAATTTTTGACAGTGACCCAATGCATTGTCTATTTTTAAGCATAGAAAAATGAATAGTTAAACGAATTTGAGTCAATAAAAAGGTGTAACTTCAAATGTTCTTAAAGTATTCAAAGGAATATGAATCAGATTCAAGTTTCAGCTGATTTGAATAAAATCCTTCGAAAATTGACTGTAAAGAAGGTTTTTTTAACTTCACAGCAGACTAATAGTGAACATTTTATGCAATTTATACAACTACATTACTTTGAAAACATTTATCAGTAATTGATCAAACAATTTTGTTAGAGTTTGTTCGATTTTAGTAGGGTGAATTCTGAAACTTGATTCAGTATAAGAAGCTCATGAAAGGTTAATTAAAATAGTAAAACTAATTGAGAAGTATTATGGGGGTATAATAAAATAACACCAAATTTCCACCTTTCATTCTATTTATAAGAATGCTCATATAATTTCAGTCTGTTATATACTTTTTGGTATTTCTTGTTTAAGCGTATGAATGGGATCCTCAGTAATTGTAGTTTCTGTTTTTGCTAATTTTTATGCTAATAAATAATGAAATATATTAATATTGTTTAGATTTGTTGCCAAGTAATCATAGACAAATTGAGCCAGAAATAATGTGCAGATTAATGAATGATAATTGTATTAGAAAAATCAGTAGTTTGGTAAATATTTGAACAAAAGATTTAGATTTGCTTGATAATCAAACTGTTGTTAGTTCATTATTAGAAGATGATGAATATTCATCTGATAAAATAGTGTGTTTTGATCTAATTTTAGAAATATATGGGAATCGATTATTACTAGATGCGAACCATTTTCTAGAGAAATGTTAAGTCCTAAATTTGATGTGATATTGTCTAAGTCGATGCTTGATTTAATGGTTGTATACTATACAGTAACATATGAAACACATAATTTTAAGACACTATTTGATGATAGTCCTAAAAATTCAATCATACTAGTCATATTATAATAAATAAATTCAGTCAGTGTAGAATTGGTTCAAATGTATTTAGCTCAGCTATGTTATTTTAACATGTAAAAAATTCATTTATTTTAGCGAATTTTATAACATTTGATAATTAGATTGATTGTTATGCTGGTCAAGTCCATATTTTTTAAGCATATAATTAATTTTGAAAATAGATCAGCAGAATATAATTTAGCATTTATTCAGTGATATAAGCTGGCAGAAACATATAAAGTTTGATATTATTTTAGTATTGATGATGATGAAAAATCTTATAATGTTAAACTATGGAAAAATAAATTTTTTCCGATGGTTGTGATTATATATAAAGTTAAAATAGATCATTTCAGATATCTAAAATGGTTGAAATAGTCAAAATCATTTTGACTATTAGGAGTTTAAAAGTTGAAATAGTCAAAATAACATCATATCACATGATTTTTAATATATAGAAAAAACAAAAAAACAAAAGATGTATGGTCTCAGTCAATATCACTCTGATTTATATAAAATAATTACTATTCAATTTCTCACGACTAGATGAAGTCAAAGAGCTAAAATATATTGATTTTTGATCATCCAATCTTAAGATAATCATAATTGTATTATTAGCTAAAATTATAAATCAATAAATACTACTTTAAATAAAGGAGTTCAGATTTCAAAATTTGATCGCAAGTATTTTGATAAGCTGATCTAAATCAATAAATGTTAGCTCATTAGATTCATCTAGTTACAAGAAATCAAATGGTAGTTGTTTCATATAAATCAGAGTGATATTGACTGATCATACATCTTTTGTTTTTTTATTTTTTCTATATATTAAAAATCATAAGATATGACATCATTTTGACCATTTTGACTTTTCATTTCAACTTTTAAGTTTTCATTTTGACTTTATGTATAATCATGACAGAATTATTCTGATACATAATATTCTTTGTCAATTTATACTAGTAAGATATCAAATTTCTACTTGTCCAAATACTGTTAAATATTTAACCATAAGTCTGATAAATTGTAAATTCTATATTCGTTAACTTTTATTTTGTAATATAAATTTTTCATAATAAACCAAATTCTGATTAATATAATGCTGAATTATATATAATGTAACAATAACAGTCAATTTATTATAATTTTTATGTTGAATTTTAAAGAATAAATGAAATTTTACCATATTGAATCATCTAAATGTTTGCTGAAAAGTTTTAGTATCGAAATAATGCTAAATTATATGTGATGTAACAAATGACAGTAGATTTGTTATATGTTTTTACTGAATTTTAAACTCAAGTTAAATTTTTGTCAAATAGTATAACTGAATCAACTGAATGTTTGCCAAAGATTTTAATACTAAAATAATGCTAAATTATGTATAATGTAACAAATGATTATCGATTTTTGTAACTTAAGCTAAATTTATGCTGAATCACATGACCAAATCGGTTAAATATTAACCAAATATTATTAGTGCTGAATGAAATGATTTCAACTAGTATATGAAGGAATTGCAATCAAGTTAAATTATATTTGCATATCTTATCTTATAGAAGTACATGCTGGCCAATAAATTTAGAAGAATTTAGAATATTTACACATATTAGTATAGATCCTATTAGCTATAATCTAAAAATATGAAATTTATTATGCAAATATAGAAGGCTATCCAGTAGACCATAAATATATAAAAATATTTTATTATAATCCTATAAGATATTATACCCACTATGATTTACAATTGGCAATACACTTAGATTTTCACATAGAATTATCTTTTAAAAATCTTAATGCTCTAATATTTAAGCAAAATCAGTTCACAAGCAGATATGATATTTTTTATCAATAAACAAGTTATCTTACTAAAATAAAGTATGAAGGTAAACAGGCAGAAAAGTTGCAAAACATATGTTAATATCTTTTTGGGAATGATTATACTCAGATAGGAAAAGACCAGATTTATATCAACATATAGGAGCGTTTTCAGTAAAATCATATTACAGATCATATGATTTACTATACTCCATGATTTGATTTTACTGGAAACGTTCCAATATAACTCCATTTATTTTAAAAAAAGAATGTGAAATTATATCAGAAAAAATTAGAGCATTAGAAGATTGTGTAAAGTGAATTCACAAAAATAGTTTTATTATTTCAGATAAAGTTATTAATCAGTTAATTGAAAATATGAAGAGACAAATAAGCTAAAAATCGTAAAATCAGGTATTCTATCAATAAAAATATAATAAGTCAATTTTAAGAAAATAGTTATATCATTTACGAAATCAGAGAAATCATCTATCTGTTATATATCTTTGCCAAATGAGATTCTTGATAAAATTTTCCAATATTATAAAAAAAATGAGGGTGAAAAATTGTACTCTTTTTATTAATTAGGCCAGACCAAGCTGATTCTTTGTTTAACATAATCCCCTCCCCCCCTGTTTTTACAAATTTAACACAAATATTATATATTTTATACAGCCAATAGAATTACAGTATTTTGTCATGTAATATTTTAATATATTTATCCAATAAAAATGTGGCAAATATTTGATTAATAAATACTATTTTATATTTTAACATATAAAAAAAAAATTTTTTCATTTTTAAATTTCTCACCTTTTAAAATTTCTCACCTTTTGAATTTTATTTTACATTTTAAATTTTAAATTTTAATTTTATCTCTCTTTTAAATTTATTTCACCTTTTAAACTTTATCTTACTTTTAAATTTTATCTCACCTTTAAATTTATCTCACCTTTTAAACTTTAAATAGA